TTATAGTGAAATGAAAATGAAAATTAAGGAGTAATAGAGGAGTAATAGAGGACTTTAAAAGAAAAGAGAAAAAAGTAAAACAAGAAAAAAAATTTTTTTCCTAATTAAAAAAAATAGTAAAAATATATGAAAATGAAAATGAAAGTTAAGGAGTAATGGGGGGGCAGTAATAGGGAATTTTTTAAGAAAATAAAAGAAAAAAGAAAAAAAAGAAAAGAAAAAAATTTTAAATTTAAAAACAAAAAAGTAAAAATATATTTAGGAATTTCTCTGGAGCTGTTGCAGTCAGTGTGGGTTCAGTTCAGTTTCAGATAGCTCCTCATTCCAGCTTACCCTTCTCCATTTCTATAGGCCCCTTCCGGTGTAGTCGGTGTTAACTACAGGGATTTTAATCTGTCGCACAGGTCCCTTCTGAAGCGGTTCCCTTAGTTTATTGGGCTTCTGTTTGCCGGTCTCTTCAGTGTCTAATTTCCGCCCTGACACAGGCGGGCGGAGGTGGTCTCTTGTTCAGGTTCTCTAGTTCAGTCCTGCTGCGGGGAGGGAGGGGCGCTGCAGGCAGATATGGCTGTGTGTGGGGAGCACCCTCAGTGTTCCGGCCACACTGGGCTTGACCCGGCTCACGGTGTGTGCTTCCCCATCTACACTGCTCAGGCCACCGGCTGCTCTATATGGAGCGTGCCCTGCGTTGCGTGCGGTTCCAGTTTTCGGGTATTCCACAAAAGCGCGGACTCGGTTGGGCCTGCGTCTTGTGTCTTCCCCGGCCCGAGCAGCCAAGGAAGCCAGGAGCTTGATGGGCGCACTCTCCCCGGGTGCGGCGTGCCTTCTCCCCTCTGCGGTCCCAGCCTCAGCTTCCGCGGGCACCAGTAGGGTGCGTGCGCCTTGTGTCTATTTTCGGGAGCTGGCCTCTAGCCGCGACCCTCCCGGCGGATGTCAACCATCCAGAATCTCAGGAAGTCTTTGGTTAGAAACTGGAGGCCTGTTTGCAGTTTGGTGGTGGGTGCCGTCTCTGGGGCCGAGTTTGCCCCTTTCCCCTCCCCTCTGCCTCCTGCCTCCGGCGGGGATGGGCCGGTCCGCCGATGGCTAGCTCTTTTCTGGAATTGCTCAGTCCCTTTGTTCTGCCGGCAGTGTGTTTGGGCCGGTTAATTTTCTCTCTCTCTCTCTTGCTATCCACAGTTTAAGTTGTTATCTCGCGTTAGCTCCCTCTGATTGCCCTCAGGGCATTCAGGCCCGGTCCTTACCCTAAGCATTGCCGCCCGCTCCTCTCCGTTCCGCCCCCACTTGCTGGTGGCGGATGCGGGCGTCTGGGGTACTTTTCTGCTGGGAGTTGCTTTTAGGCACGTAATCTGTGGGTTTTATTTATTTTTCCTCCCAGTTAGGTTGCCCTCCGAGATTCGAAAACTTCCCCCAGGCCCGCCAGTGAGAGGGGTTCCTGGTGTTTGGAAACTTCCTCTAACACGACTCCCCTCCAGGGACGGGTTTCCGTCCCTAGCTCTTTCGTCTCTCTTTTTATCTTTTATATTTTGTCCTACCTCCTTTCGAAGATGATGGGCTGCTTTTCTGAGCACCTGATGTCTTCTGCTAGCAGTCAGAAGTTGTTTTGTGAAGTTTGTTCAGCGTTCAAATGTTCTTTTGATGAATTTGTAGGGGAGAAAGCAATCTCCCCGTCCTATTCCTCCGCCATCTTGGCTCCTCCCCCTCTGCCAGGTGTTTTCTAAAGAAAAAGATATTGTAACTACACTTATTAACCTGAATTATTCTTTAATTGTTATTACTTTGAAAAGGAATTCTCATGTTCCAGCACATTAGACTACTTGCCATTTAGAAGTAATGGCTTTGACACTTCTGTCCTTTTTCATAAATGTGTTCCACCTGCTTGAAACATCCTTTTCCACCTAGTGAGTTAGTAATGATAGCCATCATTCTGTTGTGGCTGGCACTCTCTAAGCACCTAATGTGCATTAGCTTAGTTAATCCTCACAACAGCCTCATGAAGGAAAATAACATCACAGGGCTGGAGAGGTCCAGTACTTTCCCTACCATTACAAAGGGAAAAATCCAGAGTGAAGTTTCAAATCCAAGGCTGACTTTGGAGCCAAGTTATTTAATGTTAGGGCTTCCCTGATAGCTCAGTTGGTAAAGAATCTGCCTGCAATGCAGGAAACCCTGGTTTGATTCCTGGGTTGGGAAGATCCGCTGGAGAAGGGAAAGGCTACCCACTCCAGTATTCTTGGGCTTCCCTTGTGGCTCAGCTGATAGAGTGAAGTTTCAAATCCAAGTCTGACTTTGGAGCCAGTTCATTTAACATTAAGCTGACATTCTTACCCTTGAAATAATACCTCCACTAAAACGCCATCTCTGACTAAACAAGATAGAATCACTCCATCCCTCGTGTTCTCATGACCCTTTTCTTCTGTTTCCAATTATGCCAAGGATAATAATTGCATTAAGAGCTTGACATATGCTAGGTACTCTGTTGAACACTATATATGCATTTAATCCTCACAAAATTGTGAGATCCTTTTATCTCCAATACATGAGGTACTGAGGCTGAGATTGAAATAAATTGCCCAAGTTTACATTCTGCCTACAAAGTGGCCAAGTCAGCCTTTGAACAAGAGTATAATTACAGAGCTGAAGGTCTTAGCATAGGAATTTATCTTTCATCTGAGGCTGTTAATTAACTTCTTGATGACAGGAAAAGTTTGTTTTCATTTAGGATACCTAGTTACTTGAATATTCCCTCATTTGTAGTGCATTATAAATGAGTGAATTGAGTAAATAGTCAATCCACAAATATCTGCTTTTCCCTTGCTTTAAAAGGGTCAGGTATCGGACTATATGTAAACTATCCCCTTGCCATTACTATACACTCCTACAGACTTTTCTGATACATCCCTCAGAGGTAGTGTAATTCCCCGCCCCCCCCCTTTTTCAGATGTCACTGGATGGCCATTTTCATCTCTCTAAAGTGTTGGTTTGGGGCTCGGTTGGGTGAAGGTGCAGAGATGTAATAGCTCTCCGTGATTTCAACTATTTCCTTCCTTTTTATAGAAATTTTTAAATGAAATTTTACATCTTTATTTCTTTAGATACAACAACCTAGTGAGTTGGGTAAGGCTGATATTATTAACCTATTGTACAGATAATTAAACTGAGGCTAAAAGTAAGAAATTATTTTCTCCAGGTTAATGTAACTAGAAAATACTAGAGCCAAAACTAGAATTTATGCCTTCTAATTTCCAGGTCCTGGACTCTATTAACACACCGTAACAACTTTCACTTTCCTTAGAATTTCTAGAGGAAACATCAAATTATAGCATTTGGCCAGGGAAACGCAGGATATCTAAGCAAAGAAGAATATGAAGAAGACTGAGTGAGTAAAGAAAGCAAAGCAATCAGAGCACTTTGTGGAGTCAATTTTGACAGGGAAATGAAAAAGAAAAGTGAGATATGGGCGAAGCACTCAGTGGAGGACACTAGAGCCTGAGGATGGCGGTCTAAAACCCAGAAGGTTCTGGGGGTGGGAGTCAAACCATTCAAGAGTGCCAGGGACAGGTAGGACTACGGACCCAAGACCCTGCAAGGGAAGCGGTACAACAAACCTCCCGAGTCTGCGTTGCCCCGCCCCGCGCCGGCCCCGGCAGCCGCAGTAGGGCGCGCCGGCTCGGGTTGCGGGAAAAGGGGGCGGTCCTTCCCCGCCCGCGGAGACAGCCTGCCGCTCTGACGCCCTGTTCTCGTCCCAGCCGGGCCGGCTGCCTTTCTTCTTTAAAATAGAAGCGGCCGCGTCAATGAATGCTTTACATTCAGCTCTTCCTTGAGTGAGTGGACCTGTCGCGGACACTCTCCTGGGCTCTGGTTCCAGGATCTGAGCTTCGTCGGCCCTCCCCCAGGTCTCTTAGGTGATGCTGCAGCCAAGATGGCGCCGGCGGCGGCCGCGGCTGCCTGAGCGCAATGCTCCGAGTCCTCGGCGGCAGCGGTGGCGGCTGTGGCCTCGGCCGGGGCCTCGGGTCTGTCCCGGGCGTGAGTGCTCAGGAGCCTCTCCTCCGGCCGGGTGAATCCGGACAAAGAGGAGACGGCCTCGAAGAGAGGAGGCAGTGAAGAACGGAGAGAGCGCGCGGCGCCTCCCGCCTCGGCACCATGGCTGGGCTCATCAAGAAACAGATCTTGAAGCACCTTTCCAGGTTAGTCAGAGCCTCGAGCGTGGGCACAAGCCCGCCTCCGCCCTAGCGGGTTCCAGAGGCAGCCCGCGGCTTCAGGAGCGGCGGGGACTGGCAGCCGAGCGGGAGGCGACCCTTGGACTCCCTGCTCCAGAGGGGCAGAGGTCGCGGCCCCGGACCTCCCTTCGCCCCTGCACTCTGGGCTGGCCTGGCAAGTCAGCGCCTGGACGGGGTCGCCCACAGACAGGTTCGCCCCTGGACGGTGCCCCTAGACGGATTCTCTCCCGCGATCGGCTCGCGGAGGAGCGTGTTGGGTGGCAGGGAGAGGCTGCTGGCTGGGACCGTCCCCGACGCGGCGTCTGGGGGGCGTCGGGAGGATCATCTCGGGCGGTCCTGCGCGGACACTGGAGATGGTCTGGCGTCGCCCAGGTGCTCGGTGTCTGCTCGCCTCCGTTCGGAGATGAGCGGTTCCGTTAACCCAGGGCGTCTAGCGCAGTGTGGACTCTTAGGGCTGAGCCTTGGCTTCTCACTGAGATGTTAACCTTGTTATTGTTCTGAATTCACCCTGCCTCGCCGTTCCCAGTCTGTGCATTAGAGGGTGTGCCTGTTTGCACAGTTAGGATTTGTTTTAGGTAAATAATCAGTTACCAGCTTTGGCAAGTTTTTTCTGGAGTCGTGTTAGCCCCACATCATTCGTACAGAGTTTATTATTATTTTTTTTAGTCTAAGATCCATAAATTCAGGGAGTTAACATCTGTGGTAACAAACCCAAGACGTGTCATCCTTTCCATTTCATAACGCGGTTTTAGTCAGAATCATGACTCAGTAAAGCTGGCAGTTTGTTACTGCCCCTGAGTTTTCCATATTTGTCTCAAAACACAGGCTAAATGTAGGATCTTCTTTCCAAGTTGTTAACAGAGAATTCAGAATGCTTGATTATGACCCTTTACTCTGTTATTTGTAAATTAATGATTACTTTTAACAGATTTTAGGAAAACACTTGGGTGTGATGATGTACTTCCGTCGTAAAGAGAGCTCTTGATTGTCCAAATCATTGTATACCACAGGTTGTATGTTGGAGAACAAAATTATTATTTCTGTGATTCAGCAAATATTTTCCTCACTTATAACACTGAATAAGATAAAGGTATTTTTTTTAAAGTAACAAAATATAGAAGCACTGATGATTATACATTTCTTAATAGTATCACTAATTGGAAAGTTTCTTTTGAAATTGTCCATATGATCCAATAATGAATTACTTCGTTTTGGAAGAAGATTTTATCATTATTTTGTATGATTTAAGTAAGATCTGACTTGTCAGATGTCCTCCAGCCTTTCTCATACTCAGTTCACAAGAAAATTTACACCTACAGAAAATGATTTGAATTTCTATTTTCTCACTCCCCTGAGGATGACAGTATTTACATAGCTAGTTCCATTTTAGATGCACAGGAGAAAAGTTTGTTCAGTCATTAAGAACCTTAGGATATTAGAGTTTAATTCTCTTATAGAACTACCCTTGAGAAGGACTGTTACAAATTAGTTGTAAGGGTAATGGCTTACTTCACAAAACAGACACATTCAGAACTGAATCTTGAGAATTACTCTTTTTTTTTTTATAATAGAGTGTAGATTTACCATGTGTTAGTTTCAGGTACACAGCATAGTGGATCAGTTATACATACAAAGGATTACTTTTTTAATCTGTATGATTTCTAGTAACTGCGTTGTAAACTAATGATTTTTTTGAGATGAGTTTTTGAAGCACTTTTCAGTTAATTCATGTTTCAAAACTTCCTTAAGTCAAGTGACTGAAGAGTATCTAATTCATCCTCTTGGTTAAGATATTAACCTTACTGCTGTTACTGTCATCTCCTAAGAAAAATACAGTTATTTATAAATAAAAAGGATGACAATAGAAGAAACAAGGTGGGTGTTGTGGTAATTTATTGTTCAGTTCAGTTCAGTCGCTCAGTTGTGTCTGACTCTTTGCGACCCCATGAATCGTAGCAGGCCAGGCTTCCCTGTCCATCACCAACTCCCAGAGTTTACTCAAACTCATGTCCATCAAGTCGGTGATGCCATCCAGCCATCTCATCCTCTGTCGTCCCCTTCTCCTCCTGCCCCCAACCCCTCCCAGCATCAGGGTCTTTTCCAATGAGTCAACTCTTCGCATGAGGTGGCCAAAGGACTGGAGTTTCAGCTTCAGCATCAGTCCTTCCAGTGAACACCCAGGACTGATCTCCTTTAGGATGGACTGGTTGGATCTCCTTGCAGTCCGAGGGACTCTGAAGAGTCTTCTTCAACACCACAATTCAAAAGCATTAATTCTTCGGTGCTCAGCTTTCTTCACAGTCCAACGTTCACATCATACATGGCCACTGGAAAAACCATAGCCTTGACTAGACGGGCCTTTGTTGGCTCAGGTAGTAATGAACTTATGAAATTATCTAGGTCAAGCTTAATTTTATAGATTATTCAGTAATAAAGATGTCACTATACTGATCTAACCATCCGGAACACAGTTTGGTAGGAAATACTCAGAACATACTATCTTCCGATAATAGACATTTCTTATGACTAGTGAGTGGAACTCATGATAGCTTCTTAATGGAGGGCTTACCTGACCATTCTTTTCTCTATAGCACTCATATTTAGTAAGATTTACTTATTTATTTGCAGTTCATTTGTCTTCTGTACTGAATGTAAACTCCATGAGGGCAGGTTTTTTTTTTTTTTTGAGTCTAGAATAATGTAGGTACTCAATGACTATTTTTTGAATGAATGCATGAATGGCAACAATGAATGGCAACAAAACATTGCTATTTTTTTTTTAAACTGAGGTAAGACTAGAAGCCACCAATATTATCACAGATCTTGGGCATGGCCAATTTTCCTGTGGTTTTAGGAAATAACGGACAATTGAATGATTGAATAAATATGGTACCTTTGGTATCCTGGAAAGAAAGGACTAAGAAAATGACACTTTATCTAAGAGGTCTCCCAGTAAAGAAGACAATATAGGAACAAACAGGAGAAAAAATGCTTACTCTGAGCTTGGAGGTTGAAGTGTGGTAAAATTGTAAGATTAAAATGAATGTTATTCAGATACAATGTCTTAAGAAAGCTGAGAACTGAAGAATTGATGCTTTTGAACTGTGGTATTGGAGAAGACTCTTGAGAGTCCCTTGGACAGCAAGGAGATCAAACCAGTCAATCCTAAAGGAAATCAGTCCTGAATATTTGTTGGAAGGACTGATGCTGAAGTTGAAGCTGTAATTTGGCCACTGATACAAAGAACTGACTCCTTGGGAAAGACCCTGATGCTGGGAAAGATTGAAGGCAGGAGGAAAAGAGGACAACAGAGAATGAGATGGTTGGATGGCATCACTGACTCTATGCGTGTGAGTTTGAGCAAGATCCAGGAGTTGGTGATGGACTGGGAACCCTGACGTGCTGCAGTCCTTGGAGTTGCAAAGAGTCGGACATGACTGAGTGAGCTGAACTGATAAGAGAATTATTCTTTAGAGATTAACATATGCTTAAAGCAAATGAGGAACTATTTGAGAAGTGTAAATCTATATACTTATTCCCTATCTAGTTGTTTAGTTTGTATTCCAAGCATCTCTTTCATTGTTAATAAAAAGTTTGTATACTTGAAACAGATCTGAAACTGAAGAGGACAAGTGAGTGAGTGAGTGAATGAGTGAGTATGTGTGTGTGCGCGTGCACATACACGTGTGCAGATTAGTTACAGAGTAGTTACATTTTAATAGAAGTGAAACAGGAAAAGCTTTTGAAGGCGATTTTACCCTGATCTTTCATACTATAATTGTCACAGAATATGTTTTGGAGCATTCTCTAGGAGAGTATTTTTTCACAAGGAAATGGAAAGCTCTAAAGAAAAGTTAGAACAAGTATAAGAAAGAAAATAAAATCAGGAGATTACCTTTCAGCTCAAGTCCTCATTACCTGTTACTGCGGTATGTGTACACATGTGCTCCAGCAAAGGTGAAAGGCAGGGAATAAAAGCTTGAAGATGGGGTACATTTAAGCCAGGACGTAAAAAGAGATGGAGAAGACTCAGATACAACTGCTCCCCCGCTCCCCCTTTGGCTCAAGGCATGTTATGCTGGGGGTACAAGTGGGTGTTGCAAAGACATACACTGTACCTGAATACAGTCTTTGTATAGTTTTAAGCAGTGGTTATGAAACATGGGTGGGTGTTTGAATATCCTCCCTCGGAGGATATTTGGCAATGTCTGGAGACATTTCTGATTGTCATGACTTGGCAGAGTTGGGTCTTGGGGTTGTACCTAGCAGGTAGAGGCCAAGGATGCTGCTAAACATCCTACAGTGGACAGCACGGTCTCTCACAAAAAGAATTATTTGACCTACATGTCAGTAGTTTTGAGGTTGAGAAACTGATTTAAAGTACACATGTGTGTCATATTATTGGACTAGGATACTGGGCTAATTAAGATTATGTTGTCTGTCATAAATATACTACTGTGTGTTAAATAGATAGCTAGTGGGAACCTACAACATGGCACAGGGAGCTTCGCTTGGTGCTCAAGTAGTGACCAGAAGGGGTGTGGTATGAGGGGTGGGAGGAAGTTTCCAGAGGGAGGGGATATATATATACTTGTAACTGGTTCCCAGGTAGTGCTGGTGGTAAAGAACCCACCTGCCAATGCAGGAGAGGTAAGAGGTGAGGGTTTGATCCCTGGGTGGGGAAGATCCCCTGGAGGAGGGCATGCAACCTACTCCAGTATTCTTGCTTGGAGAATCTCATGGACAGGGGAGCCAGGAGGGCTGCAGGCCATGGGGTCACAAAGAGTCAGGCACGACTGAAGCAAGTTAGCACCCATGCATAGGTGATTCACTTCACTGGTCAACAGAAACTAACACAACATTGTAAAACAATTAAACTGCAATTAGAAAAACTGTTAAAAAAAAAAGATTATATTGTCTGCAAACAACAAAAACCTGCTCTGTTTCACTTAGGCTAAAAGAGGAAA